TCAGTTTAAATGTTTTTCTAATTTATCCTTTGATCCATGGGTTATTTAGAAGAGTGTTATTTCATTTCCAAATATTTGGATATTTTCCAGAGATCTGTTGTTGATTTCTAATTTGATTCCATTGTGGTCAGAGAACATCGTTTGTATGACTTGAATCCTTTAGAATTTATTGTCCCTCATTTTGATGGCCCAGAATATGGCCTATCTTGGTACATAGACCATGCACACACAAAAAGAACACGTGTTCTGCTGTGGGGAGAGTGTTTAGAAACGTCCACGAGGCCGAGCTGGTTGACAGTGTTGTTCACGTCTGCTATATTCCCAGTGATTGGCCACTCAGCAGAAACAAGAGGGAGCTCCAGCCCAAATTTGGTTTGGATGTTGATATTGATGATGCCACTACACACATGCCAGGAGAGGATGAAAAGGCTTGTTACTCACATAATGAGACTTTCAGGTCCAAAGGGGATTGAGGGAGCAGGGAAGGGAGACTGGCTTGGGGTGTTTTTATGGTGCTTGGGGGTAGGGTCAGGATGGTGGCTTCCACTCATGGCATGAATTTCCCACAGCACCAAGGGAGGGAGCACAGCGCTTCTTGTCTAAGCGCCCAGAAGCGGACAGAAGGGGAAGAGGGAGGGTGAGGCTTAAACACTGTCAGCAGTCAGACGCCAACAATGGGAAGGAGTCAGGCTTTATCACGGTGGTTTTCTGTCCACTTGTTCTATCAATTATCGAGAGAGCCATGTTGAGTTATCTCACTATAGTTGTGGTTTGTCTATTTCTCGTTGCAGTTACATCCATTTTACTCAAGCATTTTGAAGCTCTGTGATTGGGGAAGAAATACTTAGAATTGTGTGTTTTCTTGATGAGTTGTCCCCTTTTCGTTATGAAATGATGTCTTTGCTCTCATAACAAGCTTTGCTCTGAAATCTGCATTGTTGGATGTTAACAGAATTGTTCCGGCTTCCTTTTGACTGATGTTAAGATGATCTATCTTTTTTTGTGTGTGAGGAAGACCAGCCCTGAGCTAACATCTGCCAATCCTCCTCTTTTCGCTGAGGGAGACTGGCCCTGTGCTAACATCCATGCCCATCTTCCTCCACTTCATACGGGATGCCGCCACAGCATGGCTTGACAAGCAGTGCGTCGGTGCGCGCCCGGGATCCGAACCGGCGAACTCCGGGCTGGCGCAGTGGAGTTTGCGCACTTAACCGCTTGCGCCACTGGGCCGGCCCCCAAGATGATCTATCTTGTCCATCCTTTACCTTACCTATGGGTCTTTATATTTAAAGTACATTTACCGTAGGCAACATACGGTTGGATCTTTTTTTAAATCGAATCTGACAATTTCTCTTAGAGTGATCAGATCACTTACATACCACTACAAATGTGGTTATTGACATACTAGGGTTAAGTCTATCACCTTGCAATTTGATTTTATTTATCTCATCTGTTCTTTGTTCCCCTTTTCTCTTTTCTGCGGCTCTGTGTGCTTAAGTTCCAAGCCAGGAGCTCTGTGGCCTCTGCGTCGGTACGCTGACCAGCCCTGTGCAGCACACCTGGTGTGCTCACCACCGTCCTCATCCCGGATGCCAATGCTTTAGAGTTGGGGAGGGATGCTCAGCCCCATCAGCTCATGTGGGGTGCAGCAAAGGGAGCAGGGGGTGGCTCCTTTCAGTTTTCTGCCACAAATATATTTTGATGCGCCCTCCCACCCCCATGTATATATATTTGGTATTCACTTGATTTTAGTTTTAAAATTTGTGCAAGTAGAGACAAATATAGACAGATTCCATCTTACGAATGGATTGTGTACCAAAATTATTTAATAAGCCATGAGCTATGGACTGAATGTTTGTGTCCTCCCAAATTCCTGTGCTGAAGCCCTAACCTCCAGTGTGACTGTGTCTGGAGATGGGACCTTTATGGAAGTAACTGAGATTAAATGAGGTCATAGGGTGGGGCCCTGATCCCATAGGATCAGTGTCCTTATACAAAGAGGGGGAGAAGCAGGGCACGCTCGCTCTCCATGTGCTGTGCACAAAGAAGGGGTCATGTGGGCACGCGGTGAGAGGACGGGGCCTCCGCGCCAAGAGGAGGCCTCAGAACGAAACCTACAGGCTGGCACTGCGATCCTGACTTCTGGCCTCCAGGGCTGTGAGAACTGTCTAACTTGCCGCGTCTGTGTGCCAGAGATGCAGGTGTTTTTGTTTCCCAAAGAAAGGACATAATAAATCAAGGCTGGGCTCACAGGCCAGAGAAGGAAATGATTTATGCCCTGGGAGTGTAGTACTGGGACAGCGTAACCTCGGTCACACGGAACCCTTGGGGACACTTCCTTTTGTTTGCCGGGTTTTCCTGGGTCATGGAGAACCGACCAGCACTTTAACAAGATGCACATTTCAGAGCTGAAACTGCTCAGCCCGGAGCGGAGGCGCACGTCCCACGCAGACACCGGAGAGCGGGCCGTGGGGACACAACGAGGACGGAGGACAGAGTCTGTAGCTTGGCGCCGTGGCCCCGCGGGAGGAGCTTGGGAGAACCTGGAGGAGGCTGCCGTCCCTGTCTGCGGGGGGCCCGGGCTGGGCCCTGAAGCTGCTGTGGGGAAGGCACCATGCATGGGGCAGGTCCTTTGAGTAGCAACGAGCACCCCTGCGGGCTTCTGCCCAGAGGGAGGGTTTGGCCTCTGACCATGATTCACTGCACAGCAGCTGCGCTCTTTGACGGCTGCTCCTGGAGGTGCGGGATGCAAAAGACACCCTTGGGCTCTGCCCTGGAGGCTGAAGGCCCAGTGTGACATGTGAGACGCACACCGAGAACTCTTCACGAAGGGCTGAGCCTCTGGTTCCCACGGAGGGGAGATCCCGAGGGTGGGAGGGCCGGGGGACCCTGGAAGCCTGGAGGAAGAGGAGTTTTGCAGCAGAGCATTGCGGGAGGGTGGACAGTAGCGGAGGGGCAGAGGTGGGGTGGGCAAATTGTGTGCCGCAGCCAGGTCTGAAGCAGGGGACACGTTTGGAGGGTGAAGCCAACTGCAGAGAGCCACGGACTCCCAGACAGGGGTTACGCTCACCCTGGGGGCTCCAGAGAGCCGCTGGGCATTTCTGAGCAGTGGAGGAGGCTGGGCGCGCAGGGCCCCTGGAGGCCAACGCGCAGGATCCCCGAGTGTCAGCTGGACGTCACCACCCCCTGCCCATCCTTCCACCTGTGCTGATCAAACGGCAATCGAGAGCTGCTTCCAGAGGGCCGTCCCTGTTTGTAGGCTGTGCCCAGTGTGGGGTGGGGCAGACTCTGCTACTCAGGGTCCCAGGAGGTGAGGGGGTGCCCATAGCTCCCGCTCCAAAGATGTGTTGGGGGCCATGGGAAGCTCTCAGCTGTGCTGTGGTGTGAACAGTCTTCAGTCCGTCCAGGTGTTCCATCCCACCCTCTCCCCTGGCCCGCCAGAAGCTGCCTGCAGTCAAGGAACCTGGGTGCTGCCCACACGGAAATTCTGGAGGAACCCTTGGCCCTCTCAGGCTCTTGCGTCCGAGGGCTGTCACGACCGCGTGTGAGCCCCTGGCTGGGCTTCCAGGCCATCTGCCCTCACAATCTTCACCATTACCAACAGTTACTACTATATTACCACCGGTGTTGACCATTAGCACCTGGACTAGTACTGCTTAAAAGGAATGATTTAAACGAGTTTGCCGTCTGGAAAGGTGAACTGTGCGTTACTACCGTCAATAGAAAATCAGTAACAGGAGCCGCAGACAGAGGGTGACAAAACGAACACAATGAAAACACGCCATGTCGTGACACCTGGCTGCGCACCTGCCCGCTCTGCTGTCCCAGGAGAGCAGGGGTCCGAGGCCACCGCATGCGCCAGGGTGTGTCCGCCTGAGCTGGGCAAAGGCACCAAGTGGTGGGAGCTGGGTGGGCGGCCCCCACGCACGTCCCCTAACCGTGCCTGCAGGCCGGGCAGCTGTGGGGAGGCGGGAAGCCCATGGCGCTCTGCTTTCTTCAGCCAGTTGGACGGGAGTTGAGTCTCAGGGGCTGGCATTCTGTCTTGACAAACATGACGTTTAGGGACTCATATGACAAGGGCAAGGTCACAGCAGCATATGGGGACATCAGTGGTGACACAACCCAGGTGCTGCTGTCCCTCCCCACACTCATCACTGGAGGAAACGCTAAATTGCAGAGATTAATGAAAACAAAGACGCAAACCCCCATCGGATGCGTGGGGCCCCGACGTCTATGCCCGACCCCGGCCGGCGTGAGCCCCTCCCTGCCGGCCAGGCTGTGTTCTCACCACCACGTGTTTCCCTGTAAGGCCGCTTGACGTTTCCCACTTTCACACTGTGCGCTGGACCCCCCACCCTGGGGGTGCAGCCCTGTGAGGGCCAGTGCGCCTGGCCTGCCACCCACCGTAGCCAAGCTCTCAGGTGCACGTGGACTCTGGAGGAGGGGCCGTATCGGGCCGCCGTGGATGCCCGCGGTGCCTGGGGGTGGGTGACAAGCCTCCAAGTGACATGCAGCAGCAAGCCCGAGGAGCGGTGAATGAACGGAGAGCTGTGCGCACAGGCCCAAGTCTGTACGGGCTGAGGGCCGTCACTGGAGATGGACACCCTGCCCGGCCTCCCGGGGTCTGACCTCCAGGGCCCCACAGAGAATGGGGCTGCCCTGGGAGTGACGAGGAGAACCCCTGAACACGGGAGCCAGGCCACCACGATCCATGGCCTCGGCTGCTTCTCTAATAGGAGGGACCTTGTCACCTGTCTGACCCGTCCCATGCCATCCTCACCTGAGGACCCTGAGCCAACAGGTGCACCAAAAGGTGCCGTGTGAAACACAACCGTTCACCACCACACCCAGGACCCCCACGAAGGGCGCCCCAGACTCGTCCCCGCCGTGGCCCGGGGCTCCTCCGCACCGCACTCGGCACCGCACCCGTTCACCACCGACTCAGCACCTGCCTGTCTGGGGCCACTGGCAAGGAGAGTTTGAAAAACCAAAGTCCTTTCTCCCCTAAAATATTTTTTATTCTTGCATTATATTTGTGTTTCCAATTGTGAATAAAAAATGTTTAGAAAGTGGTTACAAAACAGCATGAACCAGACATGAGGCGCGGGCTCGGCTTCTCCGAGAGACGACACGGGGCCTGGCGTCGGGGTCTGGTCCGCCTGCCTGGGCTCAGTCGGGCTTCTCACTCTCAGAATCTAGAAAACAAAACCGCCACAGCTCATTACAGGCCCGATGCGGTCACACGAGGCCCTGCTCTCCAGGAAGGTGGACCGGAGACACCAGAGCGCTCACGCTCCTCGCGGGCTGGGTGGCCTGACCGCGGCCACGCACTGCGCAGACTGAGTGGCTCCCACAACCCGACAGGGCCGCCCGGCACCTGCGCTCCCGCGGCGTCGGACCGAGCTGCCTCTGGTTCCTCGGGCAACCGGGAGAGAAGCAGCAACCCCAAGGTGCCCGGCCTGGGCCCAGGGCCAGCGCTGAGATGAGGTGCCCAACGGGGCCGGGGGCCCCTCCCTCCAAGAGCAGTGGGACCAAGCCAGACCGCATCTCGGCGGGAACGCGGGATGAGCAGGCGGGGCAGGAGGCGCTGCCACACCCAATGTGGGCACTTGCAGGGGCGCAGGCCGCTGAGCACAAGGCCATCAAGGGTGGGCCAGCTGGGCACACGTGCTGCGCCCCAGTGGGGCCTCCCCAAACCTGCACCTGCCCCAGGCCCTGCGCCTACAGGACACAGAGCCCGTCATGTGACTCCGGGGCGGGTAGCCCGGCCCCAAGTCCTCCTCTCACAAGCCTGTGAGCTGACGCTGATCCAGGACAGGGGACAGAGGAGCCTTGCCTCCCCCCAGCTCTGTCCATGTGAGTCATGCAAACCCGGCTTTCTGTGAGACAGCCCACATGGATGGGGTCAGAGACGCCCCTTAGTTTGCCACGGGACTCATGCCCTCCATACAGCAGACCCTGCTGCATGTCTAAATGCAGTTCAAGTTCAGCGTGATCAAAAGCCGAGTGAACAGGCCGACTCAGGCCTGGAGCCAGCAGAGCTGGGTCCTTGGGCCCAGGCCACACCCAGCGGGTGCCGTGTGTAGAGGACAGGGGCCCCACCCAACACTCTACTCTCGTCCCCCAAGCTGGGTTGGCTCAGCATCCACCACACCTGGCTCTAGCCAGGGAGACGGCACCCGCCACTCGGCGCCCACGCCCATCTCAGCCACCCTAGCCTCCTGGGCGAGGTGTCGACGGTGAGCACGGAGCTGTGGTGAAGCTACGCCCAGGACAGGGCAGCACTGCCTGCCCGGGCTATCCGCTCCTGTCCTCCCTATGAGGCTGGCCCGTTAGGCTTTTACGTGGACAGAGGGTAAGAAAAAGATGTTGTTCCACACTGTTTTCGAGCAAAAATGTTTATTTTTCTCCTTCATATTTACAGTCTCTTGGGGTTCTGTGCCACTGACCATCTGTGTATAAAGCTGGGACCCCAATCCTATGTCCGGTGCAGCAGGGGGGCGGGGGGGGCTGCCTCAGGACCAGGCACACGTGATCCTCAACAAGGGACCCAGGGCCACGTCACAGAGGACAGAAATCTCTTACTACAGCATGTGCCCTGGCAGAAGATTCTGCCTAGTCGCCTGGAAAACTCAATTCTAAGTGAATTGATGGAATAATAGATTTAAACCAAAATAATTTAGCCACTCCTAGTGAGGTCCCAAAGTACAGCAGGACCATAAAGTCACGGCTGGGTGGCCCAACCGGCCCCCTCCCAGCAGGAGGTGGAAGCATCTTGGCCAGTGAGGAGCGGGGCCCTCAGCTCCCTCTGGGGGTGTCTGGTGCCCTCGGGGATGAGCCCCACTGAAAGCCCCAGGAGAGGAACCCTCCCGCCCCGGCAGGGTGGCCTTGGTGCCTGGAGAGCAGTCAGGGCTGGAGGTGGACGGAGCATCCTGGGAGCACTCAGCAGAGCAAGGCCCAGGCGGACACAGGCCTCAGTGCAAATAACGGAGAAGGAAGGCAGGCCGGCACGAGGGTCAGCGGGATCGCCCAGCAGAAGGGGCTGCGCTATCTCTGCAGGGTGGGCAGCCTACCTGCGCTCCTGCACCCAAACACTCACTTCCCTCCCTACACTCACAGCAGCCCAGCCGGCTTTGGGTCCTGAGGGCGTGTCTGCTCACCTAGCACTTTCCAGCAGGTTCTGCACAGCCAAACACAGCGGCTGACATTCCTTACTGGGAGACCACCTACCACTAGCAATGCACCGCCCAGTAACCACACATCCTAGGGTGTGTGTCCATCTCTCTGCTCTCAGCGCCCCCAGAAGCCCAGAGAGACCTCATTTTATGAGTACAAAGCAGAGTTCCCTAGCATTTGCAACGCATCAATATTCAAGATGGATAATTCAATTTTTTTTCAAAAAGGCATTTACAATAGAAAACTAAAGATCAGACTTTAGCTTCAGATTTGTAAACCACTCATCTTTCTGCAACTTAAAATGGGAAACTACGATATCAACGCACAAGCCGATCACAAATGAAATACACCTTTTCCAATATATGATTGTTTTGTAACATCTCTTTCCATCAGGGAACGGAAAAGCTGGAATTCAAGGCACTGTACTTCTGCAGGATGATCACAATGTTCTAACCACCAATTCAAGCACGGGAGGAGGTGCAGAGACTGAGAGTAGACCAGGGGACTAGGAGGGGACAGCGTCTGCAGCAATAAAGGAAGCGAGGATGCTGCCCACACCGGCTCCCACACCCGTGGGCAGGCGGGGCAGGACGCGGAGGCCCAACCACCACCCGGCTCCTCTAGGCTGTTCAGTTCAGGCGTTCCATCTGCTAAGTGGCTGGACAGAAAGCTACGTGATCCGCAGCCTGGGGCCGGGCTCACTGACTGAAGGCGGCTGCAAGGACACAGGAAGCATGGCGCCCGCTGTGCCCATGCCTGGCCCCCAGGCGGGGTTCCAGCTGCCCACGTGGGCTGCCCAGGGTGCCCAGGACACTGGAGTCGGGAGCAGGCTTCTGTACTGGCCCAGAGGCAGTGCACAGGGTGGGGCTGGGAGGCCGGAGAGAGCAGTACCTGGCATGGGCACAGGCAGGACCGAGGCGGCTCCAGGAATGACCGTGGTGGGCAGAGGGCCAGGCGCTGGGGCCAGACATGGCGTCCCCACTGCTGTTCGAGGCGTGCTCATCTACAAGACAAGAAGAGGAGGGCACACGTGGCTGTAACCAGCTGGCCTCCCCACTGGCTCCAGGGATCCCCACAGTGTCTCCCTCCTCGGGAGAGTGTCCTAGGACCTCCATGGGCGCCTTCCAATGGCTGACACCAGAGTGACAGCATGGGGCCAGGAAGCAGCCACCCTCCCTGCCTCATTCCCCACAGCTTCAGCCCGGCCACCTCTGGACCGCACACTATGGCTGTCCATGGGCCACGGAGTTCGGAGCAGACCCCGCAGGGTCGGACCCCTGGAGGCACAGTGAACACCCCCCACCCCCACTCAAAGGCCTCCTGCTTGACTGGTCAGACCCATGGCAGGAGGCGCTGTGCGGGGGCGTGCACCAGGCAGGGGCGTGTGCCCAGAGCCCACAGGCAATGGCCGGGCAGCCCCTGTGCTCTCCACACCCAGAGGACAACAGCACAAGGACAGGGAATAGAGCTGCGATGGCTGGTGAGACCAGTGTGGCCATGATGCAGTAACCTGATGAGGCTACTGCGAGGGAGGAGACGACAGACAGGCAGCCTCCAAACCCTCTCACCAGGCAACTGTAAAAAAGGTCACACGTCAAACCAAGCAGGGTTTCCCAGAATGCAATGCTGCTGCCCCAGCGGGCACCACTGCAGTCCCCGCAGCCACACCCCAAGGGAGAGTCCACATGGTGCCCTCCACAGACGCAGCAGGGCATCTGGGCAACTCTACTCCTTCATGGAGGCACAGCAGCCGAGGCCAGAGGGCACCTCCTCCATGTATGGGGGCCCCTCCAGACCCACAGCCAGCCCTGGGCCAGAGTGAGATACCAAATGCACTTCCCCAAGCTCCCCGCTCCTAGTCAACACGCATGGGAAGTCCCCGCCAACGCAAGAAAAGGAACGACAAGCACAGAGGGGAAAGGAAAAGGAAAACCATCCTCTTCTGCAGACGATAAGACTGTGTATGCAGAAAACCCAAAGGAACAGACAAACCAATTTCTAGCACTAATAAGCAAATGTAGCAAAACTGCAGACTACAAGGTACGGAAATTAATCATATTTCTATATACGAGAAACATACAACTGGAAAACGAACTTTAAAAACAATACAATTTACAACTGCATTCCAAAACATCAACTACCTAGGGATAAATTTAGTGAAGGATGTGTAACACCTTTACACTGAAAACTACAGAACTTTGCTGAGAGAAAATAAAAAAGACATGAGTAAAGAGAGATGTCATGTTTATAGGAAGACTCAATACTGTCAACACGTCACATCTTACCCAGTTGATCAACAGACTCAATACAAGCCCAACCAAAATCCCCTAAGGCCATTTTGTTGAAATTAACAGGCTGTCTCTAAAATGTAGATGGAAATATTAAGGACCTAGAAATCTTGTTCAACTAGAATGTACTCAACGCCACCGAACTGTATACTTAAAAATGGTCAAGATGGTAAACTTTGTTATAAGTATTTTACCACAATAAAAAAATTGGAATAAAAGAGTGAAGTTCTGACACATGCCACCATGTGGATGAACTTGAAAAACATTATGCTGAGTGAAATAAGCCAGACACAAAAGGGAAAATACTGTGTGATTCCACTCATATGACGTCCCTGGAGTAGCCGAATTCATACAGAATAGAAAGCAGAAGGGTGGTTCCGGGGCTGGATAAGCAGAGTGACCAGAAGGGGGACTGGCAAATTATTTCTTAATGAGTAGTTTGTGTGTGGGATGATGAAAATATTCTAGAAATGGACAGTGGTGAAGGCTGCACATTGTGAATATAATTAATGCTACTGAATTATATGTGTAAAAATGACTAAAATGGTAAATTTTGTTATACAGATTTACCACAATAAAAAGAATAGTAAACCAAACAAACAAAACCTTAGCAAGAATCCCAGCCATCTGAACAACAGGCTTAGCAGAGCTGGCCGCCAGGCACAGCCCAGCACAGGTCCTACAGCCAACCTGGTGGCGTCCAGAGGGCAGCAGAGCCCAGCCTGCCCAGGGCTCAGGGCGCAGACCCCGTGGGGCCGTGGGGCCATGTTAAGGACTCTCAACTCTGTTCCAGAATAAGGGAGAGTGGACTTCAGGAGTCAGACTGATGGAGGTGTGGCTGTCAGGACGGTGCTGTGGGCATCCAGAAGTAAATGGCGGGTTCAGACTGGGAGTGTGGCCTGAGAGGGAAGGAAAGAGGTGGCCTCAAACACTGTCAGAGCGGCAACCAAGACAGACGACTTGAGCCAAAAAGCCAGTCCCAGCAAATTTTAAAGAACTGAAAACACATAAAGTTTGTTCTCTTATCACAGTGCAACTAGGCTAAAAAAAAAGTAATAAAAATATCATGAGGAAATTAATAACTCTATTACTTCAAATCACAGTGGAAATTACAAACTATTTTTAACTGAAGGTTAAAGAAAATGCTACATATCAAAACCTTGGGGATGCAGCTAAAACCACTAGAGGGAGCGTCACAGCCTGAAGGCCGAAAGGATAAAAGGAAGGCTGGAAATCCATGAGCCGCACACCTCAAGAAACTTTCTAGAACAAAACATTAACCTAGACATAGAAGGAAAGAAATAATGAAAGGAATAATTTAATGAAACACAACAAAGAATATCATCAAAGCCCAAAGGAGTTCTCTGAAGAGGCGGTAAATGTATAAACCCCCAAGGAGGCCGTGTGAGGGGAGAGAGAGCACGCGAGAGAGCACGCGAGCGAGCACGCTCTCGGAAATCACCGATATCGGGGATGGAAAACAAGACATCGCCGCAAACCCTGCCAAATGGGAAAAGAGAAGGTCTTATGAACAACTTTATGTCAATTAACTTGAAAACTTAGATAAATTTAGAGATGTACCAATTGCCAGAAAAGCAGAGTTTAACAGAGAGAAGAAACAGAAAATCCAATCACACTAAAACTAGAAAAGGAACTGAATCCGTAAGGAAAACCTTCCCCTTGGGATGCAGAGACGAATGTGTGATAAACACGGCAAACCGTCAATCCCAGCGTCAGGGTGGCGGGTACCCGAGAGGTCACCGCAGAACTTTCAACTCTTCTGTATGTGTGAAGTTTTTTTAAAAAAAAGGTCATAGAGGAACCTTTTCACACTGAAAAAAAGAACTCTGGCCCAGACGGCTTCACCAGTGAACTCTGTCAGGAATAACACAATCTTTCACAAACTCCTCCGGAAGATTGAAAAAGGAGCACTCCTCCTGCGAGCGGGTCTGGAGCGGCAGTCCCAGTACAGGAGCACACTGGGCGACAACACCCCAGACGACAGCTCCTCGCCTGGCCCCTCGCGAGGCCCCTCCGGGTGCCTGGGAGCTAAAGCCCAATGAGGGTGTCCCCAGGTGTGGCGTGCAGGGCCCCCCACTCCGCCAGCCTGGGGTCAGAGGGAGGACAGGGGCGTGGCCTGCCGGGATGAGGCCGCATCCTCTGGCTCTGGGCCAGTTCCACCTAGACCCCGAGCTGGGGGCTGTTCTGCCGGATCCGGGGTCGCAGCCCCACTCCTGCCCATCCCCCCAACCCCCTGACTCCGCTGCACCCTACTTACAGCCCGGGCCTCGCCAGGGGCCGGGGGCCGGCCTGCCGTGGCCTCCATGTCATGCAGCTTCTGTGTCTGCTTCAGCTGGTTGAGCGACGGCTTCAGCTGCGTGGTGCCCGCCGTCTTGCTCGTCCACTCGTCCACCAGCTTGTGCAGGTCGTCCGTGAAGGTGCCTTTCTTATTGTTGCTGTTGTTCACCTGCGTCTGGATGTGCAGGGCCGGCTGGGGGCCTGGCTCGGGGCCTGGGACCAGGCTGCTGGTGGAGGACCCTGGGGAGGCACACACAGGCCAGGGTTGGTGACACTGCATGCCAGCCCTGCGGCCGGCTGCAGTCATTCTTACAATGGTCTCGCTTAAGCTGGGCAACACCTTGCCTCAGGAGATGGTCTGCACTTGTGGGCCCCTGTGCCAGTTTCAGACACGGTGGAGCACTCCCAGGGGCCGAGGGGGACTGGGCTGTGCCAGGTGGCCATCACCCATCTCATCAGCCAGGCCAGGGGACAGGAGCCCAGCAGCCGGCAGCCTTACTCAGCACCCACTCTGTGCTCACCCTGCCCGTGATCACCAGACTCCTGCGTAAGAGCTCAGGAAACTCCTTGCGCAGCCGGACACAGACGGGGGCGAGTTCCTCTGGCCTCTGCACTCGCGGCTCTAACAAGGACTCAGAGGAGATGCGGCAATGCTTTGAGCAGAACGCTCAGCACACAGCAGCTGCCCCATCTTCCAGCAAAGGGGAAATGCTGGCCACAGCTGGATAGCTGGCATTCCCACGAATGTTAAGGGCCGGGTGGTTTGGGATTTAAGACAGAAACTGCACCTCTCCTCCTCAGAGCATGTGGGGAAGGTACTAATAAAGGGCAGAAACACCTTGAGCCTTCCAACGTGGGTCCCCCAGCCGTCGGTGGGGCTGATGCCTGCGGCAGGGGAGCTGGGAGGCCGGGCGGCCCGGGAAGGCCTGGGGGCCACAGCTCACGTGGAGCTGGATGAACATGAGCACACCTGGCCACTTCACTGAAGATTTTTTTAAATGACCAAAACAGGACTTTTAAATTTTTTTTAATTGTCCCCTCTCTCCCCCGCAACACCTAATTTCTGGCTAGCAATTTTGAATAAGCCAATTTTGGCATTTTCTGCATTAAAAAAATAACCTAACGACCATCTCTTCAAACAAGCTGTTGCAAAAATGTAGTCTACTTTAGTGGCTAGCAATGAAAAAGCACAGACACAGTTAAACATTAGTGATGAGAGTTCACACACACAGAGCTATTTCTACATGAATGTTTCAGCCAGAAAAGAAAATGGGGGAGGAAAAAAACAGGCACGAGATGAGAGCGGTGGGCGGCCCAGGTAGATTGATACCCATTTCGTCCCGGCATCTCTCCTCTGGGGGGCACTCATCTTTAGCACTTCAGGGAAATACTCATTCCTACGGTTTTGGAAAAGGAGCCAATTAACGACTGGCAACGTGTGGCCGTTCCGGGGAAGGAGCGCCTGCTAACGTGAACTGGCGGGAACAGAACTCTAGGAGCCACGCAGACGCAAGGGGCGCCCGCAGGCAGCTGTCCCGCCTGGAGGAGGCGGAGGGGTGCTCGCGGAGGGTGGGCGAGGAGCAGGCCCAGGCCCGCACGCCCTCGCCACCCTCGGCTCCTGGCCCGGCCGCGGAAATCCTGCTGTGCACTAGCCACAATAAAGCCCATGCGATGGAGAGCGGACAAGGGGGAAAAAACCCGATAATTACGACTGCTGTGCTCTTTGCCTAGACAGAGACGCTTCAAGGCAGACCCTGCAAGGGAAGAAGAAACGACACAAGACCACAGGGTTAGGCAGGACAGCACACACAGGGACAGGCCACCACATCTAAGCAAGTCATCAGTGTGCGAGGAGAGCAAAGGCCAGCAGTTCAGAGAAGGGGCCGGCCGCCGGGGCTAATGGGCGGCCCGCGTCAGTGTGCGGGTTCACGCGAGCTTCGCCGAGGCGGAGGTGCCGGCCAAGCCCTAAGCTTCAGATAGAAGTGTGAGTGTTTTAGAAGCATATTCCAAAAAAAACAGAAGAAAAACAAAACAAAACGAACAAAAAGCAAGTGCACTGCTTTGCTCCAAACATGAGCTGGGCGCCCCCTGGAGGCGGGAACCCACTGAGTCGGCCAGGGGGCTCTGCGGGCCAGGCCCGTGGGGGGTTTTCCAAGTGCAAAAAGATACATTGTTTTGTAGTTTTGAGGCCAATCCTGGATCCTGGATGCTGCCCTGGCCAGGCCAGCATGGGCGTCAAAGGGGAAACACGGGGGCCTGTCTCCAGAGGTGGGGACAGGGCCAAGCCCGATTCTCTGCAACGGCTGCTTCGGCTGGTATTGTGTCCACCGGGGCACTGAGAGGCCTCCTTGTCACCGGGCCACCACCGAGAGCTGCTGGACCCTGCGCTCCCCAGAGGCTGGCTGTGCTCGACAGATGGGCAGTCCGCTGACTTTAGTGTCTGCATGAACTGACAATCAGGGCTCACCTGGAGGGCAGAGGGGCTGCCGCACCCAGCTTATCCTGTGGCCTTCCAGGGAGCCAGGCAGGCAGAGGTGGGACAGGCGAGGACAGCTCAGGCGTCCCCAAGGTCACTCAGCAAAGCCACGCCAGCATGGAGGGTCTGTCTGCAGTCCCACCCACAGCCCGTTGCCCGGAGCACGGCTCCCTGCACACCCCACGCTCCCTGGAGGGCGCCCACCACAGCGCCACGCCTGGCCCTCTCACAGTTGAAGGCAGGACACCGCCTGCTGCGTTTAGGGACAGGGCAAAGGTCAGCCCAGGCTCCTTGGGGAAAAGCTGTGTGCACTGGACTTGGAAACCTAGCTCAAATTGAGTTGTTCTTATTTTAATTCATCCTGTGAGTTCTGAGGCCGACCTAGGGAAAGGGAGGTGCTGTTCTGCTGGGGTCTCTAATGTGCAAAAAAACCCGGAAGGGCTGAGCAGAAGCAGTCCAGACCACCTGACTCTTGGTGGGAGCCTTGAAGGGCCTTTGCTGGTCTGTGTTCCCAGCTGGTGGAACCTGACTGGGAGCACAGGGCCCCCGGGGGGCTCCACGGGGCGCAGGGAGGAGGGTATGGTGGGGCACCAATTTCCCTGTCTGGTCCCTGTGGTTGCAGTGCCCCCTGAGCTGCAGCAGCCCCACGGGGACCACCCGAGGACATGGACTAACCACCCTGCCAGGTCCCTGCGGCCAACGGCAGCAGGTTCTTTCAGAAGGCCGCCTGTGCCCACCTGGCAGCTCCGTGTGTGGCAGAGCTCCACGTTCAGGGCCAATTCCTGTCATCCTGGCAGGAAGGGGAACACGCTGGCCACCACGGCCAGCTGCCTGCTCAGAACCGCCAGAGGGAGCCTGGGCCTGCAATCAAGCCCCAGTCAGACGTCACGGGAACACAGGGTCGGGGCCATCAGCCACCAGGACACTGTGCTCGGAGCCGGAGAGCAACACTGGCCCACTGAGCCCGCCATGCCCTCCTCAGATACAGACCCATGGTGACAGGAGCACGGATGGCTCCTGGCCCTCAGGGCAGCCCTTTAAGCACAAACCAACCGGATTTGGGCCCCTCCACACCAAGGTCACGCCATCCGGCTCGGTACAGAGCTGTAGCTGAGCGGCCACCACGCGGCTGGTGACCAGCCCTCACTCACACCGGAGCCCCGTCCATTTCCAGGCGGCCCCTTGAGTCTACTCCTCCACGTCTGTGCCCTGGCCTGGGTGCTGCCCTGGACGCCCACCACACAGACAGTGTCCGATGGACAAGCCTGCAGCCAGCCCACTCACCCTGCTCCGTGCTGGTGTACACACCCCCAGGTCCTGCCCACAGAGTCACTAGGCTACCAGGCAGCAACACAAGCGTGTGGGGGCCACAAAGGACCAACATGGCGCAGGATGGTTTAAGCCAGCCCCGCGCCGGGTTTCCCGTGGAGAGGGGAGGCCTCTCCTGCAGGTCTTCCATCCGTGGCCAAGGCCCTGGGAAGAGCGGGCTTGCAGGCCCCAGAACTACTCAGAGAAGCTGCTACGTGGGTGGGGGCTGGGGGTGGGGAGACACGCAGCCTCACCCAGCTGCTGGGAACACCCTGTTCTTCCCAGATTGGGGAAAGGCAGCATGCAGACCGACCTAGCGTCTCGTCCCTGTGCGGCACGTGTCTGCAGAAGCCCCCACAGAGCAACGGCCGCCTGCCCTCACGGCCAGGCCAGGGGTCTCGGGCAGTGCCCAGGCCTGCATGCTGTGAGACCCCTACCCCGCTCGTCCCCACATTCACTGTCACGGAAACACAGGCTGCCCTGGTGCGGACAGCATGGCACTTGCTGCCATCGAGACCCGTCTGGCTGCCTTCTAATCCGAGGGTATGTGATGAGACAGAGTGCCTGAGCCAAGGCTGGGCCCTGCGCCATCACTTGCTGCTCATCCCGGGGTTCAAACACTGACGCAGCTCACAAGGACCTGGGGGGCGGCAGCCTCAGTGCCATCAGCCGGGCGCCTCCCTGCCTCTCCCGTGACGAGAGTTTTTATCTGACACAGCATTTGATACTTGGTTCCGGCCCGGAGAAGAAGTGGTCGTATAGCACCAAAATGCCATCCAAGGTGTCTCTGTACAGAGCCCCCAAGTTCTCAAGCTGAGAAAAGCACCAAAACTTGTCCATAAAGCACAAACTAGGAAGCGGGAGGCATCTCAGCTCTGCCCTGAGGGGACTTCACCCTGAGCTTCGCCGGGCCCGGAAGCAGAGAGGCCTGGCCCAGGGGGGCTCCTCCCTGGGGGTCCTCCTGGCCCCAGGGCCCTTTCCCACACCCAGAGCAGCAGGTCCCCACAGGGAGGGACGAGGACTCTCCAGGGTGAGGGCCTGGGGGCTGCAGGGGGGCATGGAGTCCCAGAGACAGACTTGCTGCAGCGTGGACGCCAGGCCCACTGCCGATGGACGCGAGCAGACCCCACGGCCCTGTGAGCACAGAGAGGCCGGGAAGGCTATTGGCAGCTGCCTCCGGTCAGGGAGGGTCAATGGATCTGACGACGGCTTCTGACCAACCAGACACCAGGATGCGACGGCTTGTGCAACCTAACTGCACCCTCCTGACTCCCGGAATATGGTCCCTGAGCCTCCCCGAACCCTCCACGGGCCGAGGGAGGGGCCTGTAGGATGGGCGGCGGCCGCAGGGTCTGCCCTGCCGTGAGGTCCAGCCCTTCCCCAGGGGCCTGCTCAACTGCTGTTCTAAAGGCAAGCCTGTCCAGATGCTGTCCGTCCTGGGCCTGGCAGCCTCTCCCACATGGGGTCACCTCCCAGGCCCCCACAGCTGCCTGCGGCTCTACCCTTGGCGGCCCCCCACCCCCATCTCCGACCTCATCCTCACTGAGCCTCAGGGGAGCCAGACCCTCTTTCTGTCCTTCAAAACTTAACACGGATTTTATTTTCCTGGAGCTTTGTCTCCTGTTCCGTTCAAGGCAGCAACTTCTCTAGGCTCCATCTCTGCTCTGGCTGGGCCAGGTGCCCCCACACCCCACAGCCACAGCCAAACTCCAGCTCCCTCTGCCCCTCGCAGCGGATCTGGATCCAGATCTGTATGCTGCAAGGTATTCCCATCCTTGGTCCGCTCTGCTCACGCAGCCTCTGCCCAAAGTCCCCCAGCCTCTCGGCCCTTGGGGGGGCTGTGAGCAGCTCTGAATTTCCCTCCAGCCTTTCACACATCATGCTCAGTCTCCTCTCAGACCTCCCACCTCCCCAGTCACCCAGGACCCAGCAGACACAGCTCCAGGAGGGGCCCCCTGAGGGCTGCAGAACCCAGGAACATGGGATGGGAGGCGGTGTCCCGGCACGTCCGCCGCATTAGAGCAGCAGGGGAGCTGGACTGGGTCTTCACATCCCCCCATCCTCGCTGTGGGCGAGAGGGTCCCCAGGCAGGAACCCGCCGTGCTCTCCCGACCAGCAACCTCAAAGTGCGTGGGGGTCTCGTCGTGGCGGAAAAGACTAGGAACACAGCCAAGGCCTGTGAGGGGCCCTGTATGTGAAGGCAAGCAGCATCTCATCGGTCACAGCATCGGAGGAAACAAGGCCCACCAGGCTGGCACGCGCCACCGCCTAAAACCAACCCGCCAGGGCCAGGTCCCCTGTCTGCAGCCCAGCCGTGCCTCACACACTCCTCTCCCCCCGGCCACCAGGACAGAAGTAAAACCTAAACCCTTTGTCCCTGCTGTGCCTGAGTTTTTTCTATGTTGGAACAATAATTAACAGTGTAACAAGTGAAGACCCTTAAAAAAAAAGCAGAACCACGTGGGTGCCAAGACAGAGCCGTGAGGACCGCAGAGGCGCCTGCGGTGCTGCTCACTCCCTCATTTTTACCCCAAGTGCCCGGGGGACCCACTGGCTCCGACCTGCTCCCCAGGCCTGGCCAGCCGCCTCCTGGCAGCACCGCAGTCACCCATCTGAGCTAAGACACCCAGAGACCCAGGCACCCCTACATCATGGCTTCCCGCACAGAAGTCTCGCGAGGGTGTGTGCACAAGGGCAGAAGAGGGCCCGTGAGTGACGGGTGCGGCAGGCAGGGAGCCAGAGGCACACAGACCCCCACCCCCCGCCACCCAACTCAGCAACTGACCAGCAGCCCGACGACACCTGACTGAAACAGGCACCTGTCAGTGGACGAGGAGCACGGGCATTTCTACCTGGTCCTGAGCCCCCAACTGTCCTGGCTGGGGGAGGATGATGTGGGCCCTCTGATGGGCTGGACACCTGCTGTGGACGTGGCCTCGGGTCCCGACAAACACAATGTATCTTTATTGTACCAGCAAAAAGCCACGTGCCCTAAGCCTGCATGTCCAATCCAATTGGTAAAGAGCTTAATTTTTCTGTTAAAAAACAAAAATCTAAAAACCTCACAGCTTTTAATTCATTTGCCAATTGAGCTGAGGGATAAGAGCAATTCTGGACGGCCCTGAGGAGGCGCACCATTCCTAGGCCGAGTCCTTGGTCCTAGGAGGGCGTTCAGGGAATCCAAGGACAACGGGGGTGAGTTTGGTTTAGCAGAGCTTTGAGGAACTGCGTAACTGACTTCATCTCTGAGGTCCACGAGATGAGAGGGAAATACACCGAGTAAAGTGCTCCAGCCAGAGAGAAGGCCAGGAGGGGCGGCCCGCAGAGCCGCAGCGGGAGGCTGGGAGTCCCATCTCTCGGCGTTGGAGAGATTCTCGAGGTGACCAGGGTGGAGAGGGGTTGGCGTCCTGGCTGGAGCACGTTCTCTCGGCATTTCCACATGCAGGGAGCCGGGCGGTGGGTTAACAGGACTGAATGTTGTGATACGGCCCTTGTACAGAAGTTACACCCTCCAGTGACCTTCTAGAACTGTCTCGGCTTGCTACACGCATGTCTTCCGAGTCCAGACACGTGTGAAACACACCATGCGTCTAGAGAAGGCCGAGGCTGTCTTTTTGTTGTCGCTGGAACTGGGGACAGCAGACGTGTATATTTGCCACAATCGCAACAGAAATAAAACTACGTCCAACATAAAAAAAAAAAAACAAACATTAAACAAACGAGTGACCAGAGAAATGCAGAGCGCCTTGGGAGTCTGGGGGCAGAGCACCAGAGGCTGGGAGTGGACAAGCCGCTGCACATGCTGGCGCCTGGGTACAAGCCGAGAGCATGCACCGGCGCTTTCTGGGCCAGAGGGTGGGCATGGATGGGGTTCTGTTTTCAGTATTCAATAGGTGACTTCAATGGGGCGGGGGAGGCAGCCCACACAGTATATGGAAGGTAATGAAGACAGGGAGGCAGGGGAGAAACCAAGGGCCAGGAGGTGATAAAATACAAAAGAACAAATACAGACAGATGGACACAGACACGGGTCCACTGAGGAATCGAGCGCGAGGTTTGCTACTAGACTTATAGGTCACTCTCTCAGACGTTGGGTGGTAAACCGTCCAGCCTGCAAATGAATATAGAGGGAAGAGAACAGAGAGACAGGCATCAAGTACAGTCTCTGGGATTCCTCCTACACACCACCAGCCACATTCGCCTTGCCACTTAGCATCCATGGCTCCACCTAGCCCAGCCCGGAGGACCACGGCCATGGACCACGTAACAGAAAGGAGGCACACTGGAGCGGAAGAGAAGCGGACCCCGGGAGAGCGTGCGGGGCGGGTGGGGGGATAGAGATGTTCTCTGGACAGAGGTGGTGGGGTGGAACACCTCATTGCACAGCTGCTGCATCCACGGCAGCGGTGACGAGCACGTCCTCCTCAAGGCCAAACTCCCAGCTCGAGAGCTGTGCCCTGATCCTCCCAGCTGGCCCCCCCAACAGAAGGACCTGTGTTCAGCGGGGAGCAGGGTGGGGCAGGGCGGGCCAGTGCCTGGGAACCGGCGCAGAGCGCACCGCAGCCACGTGTCTGACCTCGAGGTGGTCCCACGCCTTCCCAAAGGCTGGCTCTAGCAAAGCAGCCTCCCACTGAGCCACTCCCAGCAAGACTCTGTGGGGCGGGCCCTCCACTCCTCGTTCAAAGGCTACGACTACTGTTGTTTCTTTAAGAAGCTCTCAGCAGCCTTGGCCGCAGCTCAAGTCCCCTCTACGCCACTAGGCCCTACGCGGCTAGGCTAGCACATGCTCGGGGACAGCAAGCTGGGAGTCACCTGGGCCGTGCGCTCCGCCTCCATCACTGGCTAAGCCGGAGCAGATGTCCGCAGACAGGGAGGCCCGCACGGAGCAGGGCTGCTGAGTCTGAACTGCCTTCCCACTCGGGTCTGGAGCTGCCGTGGGCCCCGCCCCCGCGTGGGCAGGGTCCTTAGCAGGAGGGGCTCTGCCGCACTCTGACAAGTGACCTGGGGGGGAGAAGGGGGACAGGCACGATGAGGCGCGGCAGGACAGACTAGCCGGTGTGGGCACGCCGTCCTCCCTGCTCTTTGCTGGGTGACCTCGGGGAAGCTCAGCCCCCACAGGCAATGGGCACGTGGCTGGTCGCCCGTGTGGGGGTGGCAGGAAGATGAAGGAAAACGAGCGCAGTCTCCACCAATCACTAGTACGGGGCCAGGCATATGTGCAAAGGCGCCGAGTGGCCCAGGCTCCCCTGGAGATGCTCACCTGGGCCCAGTGGGGCCCGTGGACTTCCTCACTCTAACGAGCCCTAGGAACCGGCATGGAATTCCTGTAACTCTTGCAGTTTGTGGACGTGTACCTGTGGGTTATCCACAGCACTGAGAGAGAGGGCTGACGGTCACTCACCGCCAGCTGCCTGCCTGGCACACCTGGGGATTTCAGCTCACTGGTCCCCACCCCAGAGTGCGGGTACTCAGGGTCAGCGTGCGGCCTCAGTGCCGGGCATCTTGGTCAACACACCCAGGGGTCCTCAGCATTCTCCCCTTCCCACAAAGGCAGTTGCTCGACCCCTACTGTCAGCAGGTGACATATGCCTGAGACACCGGCCAGAGGAAGCAGCCCTGTCTCAGGCAGCGCTCTGCAGGGAGACGCAGCAGGGGGAGAGCAGCCCCCAGCTCTGGAGACCCTGAGCCTCCTCCCTCACACACTGCAGCCCATGGGCGGCCGGGGTCCCCTCACCTCCTGATGGAGCACCCCCTTTGGGGCTGAGGCCTGGCTCCAAGCACGCCTGCCCACTCAGAGTCCTTCCCTCTCGGCATGGGGGCAGAGGCCCTGGCCCTCAGTGGCCTGCAAAGGCTTCCCTGCTCCAGTGAAAGGAGATTCCAGAAGCCCTCTTCCAAGTCTGAGTGCCGCACCTGCATCGGGCCTTCCCTGCTCCCATCCCAGTGTGCGCCCCTGCCCCAGCCAGCCAGGAGGGCGACAGCCAACCTGTGCTGGAGGCCACGACCTTGAGCTGCTGCACCAGCGGGTTCAGCAACTTCCCCGCCTTCAGCTTGCTCTTGCTGGTCTTTCTCCGGCGGCCAGCTGGGGGCGCCGTGTGGAAGAGGCCCAGGTTGGGAGGCAGCGGCTTGCCCAGGCGGCGGTACAGGGCCTCGATCTCCTGCTTCTGCTGGCTCTGCAGCTCCGAGATCTCCTTCAGGTGCCTGCAGGAGGGGAAGGAAGAGGGAGGGCAGCTGGGCATCTGGTCGTTCCCAACACACGCAGCCCCTCCAGGAGAGCCTGCAGCAGGTAGGACGGGTGAGGAGTGGGCAGACAGGCTTGGAAGGGACACAGGGGCATTTAAATGTCACTTTCTGATTACATCTAAACCAAGTGGGCATCACTGGGGCCTCTGGCATGAACACATCCAAGGACACAGCAGTGCACGAAGGCCAGCCTAAGGAGATCCAGGTTTTCAAGTTTTCAGATATCCAAACTTGTAACACTGTTGCACATTTTTAGTGGTGGTGGGCGGCAGTGGGGGTTGGGGAGGGTGTGGACGACTTCACAAATTTATGTTCACAATACGAACCCTACACACAAACACAGGTGAAGAGAAAAATGATCAGTGCTCAGAATTGGGAGGCTGCCTCTGCTTATCAGGCAAGTAAGTGTTCTTTCCTCCACGTGAGGGAACCAAGAGCACAAGAGACGTCTCAGATGAGTGGACGCCCGCATGAGCACGTCTACAAGACACGTGTCATCAGCCAGGGGCCTGGGGCCCGGGCTCCAGGCCTCTCTGCCAGGGGGCTCTCAGGCTGATCCCCGCAAGCAACACCACCCCCATACAGAGCGGAGCTGAGGTCACATGGGTGGGAAGCTGCCACTAAGATGTGGGTGGGATCTCTGGCTGTGGTCAGGATCAGTTTCTAGAACAAGTCAGGGGAGGGCCAGGTGGTCCTCACTGGCCTCCCTGAGGGACACGCTGGCCAAGCCCCTGGCCACTCCCTTCGCCCGCTGCCCTGCCCTCCTGCAACTCACATGGTGCTGGGCCAGATGCCAGCCCCGCAGCTGTATCTGATGGGCCCCGGCCACCCCGGCCAGGGACTAGCCCTGCAGCCTCACCCTAGGCCCATCTCCCCCGCGAAGGGTTGGGAAACGTGTTTTTCATCGTTGGACATAAGAAAGCAAGTACAGATTTTACCTTTTTGATGGCTGCCAGATTGTTTTAGAAAAATGACTCTCTAAACAGTGTGAAAATTAATAAAGGGAAACTTCATTTAATGGAGTCAGAAGGCCAGAAGGGGGCGCTCCCACACAGTACCACTGGAGGTCCATTACAGGAAGATGGTCAATTACACACTCCAACAAGAAGAAGCCTGAGCAGGAAAGAATGGTCAACTACAGGCCCCAACAGGAAAGACGTGCATTGCCTCTCCTGGAGGAAATCCACCACTCCAGCAACTCAGCCAATGAGAACCTGTCCACTCTGAACTCTTGCTTTCCCCCAATGGACTTTCGTTCAAAACAACCCCTCCCAACTTCCTCCTTTTTCTCTACATAATAGCATTCCTCTCCTTTTCTTGCTGGATTTGCCTATGGTCCACCATGATATGCACATCCTGAATCGCAATTCTCTGGCTATTCCCGAATAAACTCATTCTGTGCGTAAAACAACTGGCTGATTTACTTTTTAAGTTGACATGTATGGTGTCAGAAGTAGAATCCAAAGGAGGTGATGCCCAAGAGACGATGACCCCCGGAACCAAGCGAGGTGCCTGCATTGAAGCCCTTGTGCTCTTTGCTTCTGTGAGTTGCCATCTGCTTTCAGTTTGGTGAGTCTCCTCTTGGATTCTGAGCTCCGCTCCCTTTGTGTTCTGAGCTCTCAGACTTTATTCGGGATCTAGAGAGGCTTGTCCTCTGAGGGAGGGACTTTGTCCTCCGAGTTCAAGGCTCTGGCCTTGGGTTCAAGGCATCATCCTCGGCGAGTACTCAGTTGTTTTCTGAAGGCAGCACAGTTCCTTTTGGGGCTCAGGCTTGCTGACAATCCAGGAGTTTTTCTTTGATTTTCAGATTCTTTTTGGAATCAGGGCTAGAAATCCAGCAACTTTTCTTTTGTTTTTAGATTCCTTTGGGGATAGGGCTAGGAATTGAGCAACTTTCTTGTGTTTTCAGAGGAAATTTCAGAAATGGGATCCCAGTCGTCTAAATGTTCTGAGGGCAGCCCTCCTTCAGGGACCCTGGCCTGGTTTATGTTTAAGAACTCTTGGCCCCCTACATGCACATTTTTAACTAAGTGGGCCAAACTGACCGAGAGTAGACAAGAATTACAATGGCCACTATGGGGAACTTTTGATCCACCCAAACTCAGTTTTCTTAAAACCAAATTGGATTGGAAGACCGTGGCTCTAAAATTAAGCAAAATGAACGATATGTTTATTTCAGTTTACACCTGGAGTCTTCCAAACGTGCACAAAATTCTAAAATCACCTCATTACAAGATGGTGTATCTAAATTAGCCAAAACAACTAAAAAACTGAGGGAAGACAAAATGGCTTCTGAGGCCTCTCTTTCCCTTCCCCTGTTTTCTTTGTCTTATGCTCAGGCCCCACCTCCAGTGCCATCTTCTTTCTTCCCTTCTGCACTGCCTCCACCTCCTCTATTCCCTCAGTTTCCCCATTCTAATTCTCTCACCAAACTTCCGGGGCTCCAAGGAACTACAGGGACCCTTCCCAATCAGAGAAACAACTCCTCAGATAGGGCATGCAACCCCACTGCTGTAAAGCAGCCCCTGCCTCGGGGTACTAAAATGGTTAAAACAGTGGGACTCTCTAATGACCTCAAGAAGTTCCTACCTCTGAACCTCTTCCCTTTTGTTTAGGCCCTTTGAGAGAAACCCACCCTTTCTCCTTAGTTCCTCTGCCTCCTATTCATTTATTAGCCCTAGACTTTCTAGAAAAGTATCATGTTGGAATTTATTTCTCCCAAAAGGGGGAATAATTCTAGAATTTGATAGCAGCAGTGACAGCAATAACCAAAATAGCCAGCTGGAGAAATTAAATGACCCTACAACATCTTCTATTTGTTCTATCACTGATGCTGTTAGCTCAGCTCATCAGCCCACCTCCCTGTGGCAAAATCCACAGCTGACACCGACAGAATCCACAGAGCACCCCATGTTGAAGTTCAAACAGATCCTTCAAAACCTCTCCCAGAAAGGAAGCCCTTCAGTGTGAATCTTTTATCTCTTGTGTAAAGAGTTCCAGGGAGATTCCGTAGGCTTTTGGTAAGGGCACACAACTTGTTCTTCAATGTATTCTCATCTTATTTCTGAATCAACAATTTCTAGTGATTTTATTAAATTCTGAGAAAGTACTTTACTTTTCTGTGAGCCTACTGAATTTCTGTTAGAGTCCAAAGAGGAAGCATTATTTTCAGAAGGTCTACATTTGTTACTTACAACAGTAGCACTTGAATGCTGATTCCCACTTGACACATCATCCCCAACTGCTATTTTCAGTGTCTCGACATTCTTTGATCCAACATGTAGATGATTTGCTTCTCTGCTCCTTTCCCAAAACTCTTCTACTAACCCCTTTTCCTTTATCTGAAATCCCCTTTTTCTCTAGTGCTTCTCTGGCCATCTGAGCAAGTAACCCTAACTTAGTCCATCTGCCAGAAACACAATTTGGATCCAACTATTCCTTTGAACTTTGTACATAAGACATGGTTGAAATTTTTAAAACAAAAGCTATCAGGTATCTGTGTCTATCTATATTTTACGTATGTCCATGATATTTTTCTACCTCTGGGTGGTAATGCCAAAATTAATTTGTAAAAGAGTGCTATTTAATTGGCTTAAGGAAAAGTAAGTGCTTATATTAATTAAATATTCCTAAAAATTCTCAGAAATATAATAGAAACTAATCTTTTTAGGTTCATGTGATCTGGTAAAATATTGAAAATTAAAGCTATTTTAAGTTTGTTGGTTTAATTGAAACAGTTGTGTCTTTAGAGTTATCAACATTAAATATAATACTTTTATTCTACATGGTTTTATTGGTCAAATAAGTTCATATTATCTCTGTTGCACAATTTTTCAACAAGAAAATTTGCTTGAGATGATGGCTAACTTTGTCTAACATCTCATGAAGTTTCTGTGAATAATCTAAACATAATTTTTGGGAACAAATTATTTAGATAGATGAAAATAGGATAAAAGTTTTTAGGTGCAATAATTATGTTTTATGGTATGTGTGATTAAAAATAACATCCCCAAATCTTTTCAGTATCTTCAAACTTTAGAATTTTTGCTAAGTTAAATTAAATGATAGAATTTCATTGAAAATCTGGATCATTTTCCAAACAACATAAAATAGTAAAACATTAATTACTGAACAGAGGTCTATCTACTTTGGGCTTCCTATTGTAGAAAAACTGAAGATAAATTTGAGCCTTTTAGTAACCATGTCTTGTTCCACGTTGAAAGATGGCACTATTGAAAAGGGTACATGCTTCTAGAAATTATAAAATGTATAAATTTACTAGTCCACAATTGCTTAGTTCTTACTTTTCACTAGGAATCAAGGATCCTAAGAGTTAAGAATTCTAATTAACATATGTGATTAAAGCTATTAGATGCAAATAAAGTAGGATGTGTGTTTTAGTTAGAAAAAATATGAGGTATGCAGATAAATTCGTTGAAAAGAAAAAGAGGGGGTGACATCAGCATCAAGGTAGAGTGAGCTGTTCCCTTAGTCTCTCTCCCCTAAGTTAAACCTGGGGAAGGAACTGGACTTACAACTATATGAAGAAACTAGAACTCCTATTTACATCAATGCAAAAAGACCTCCTCCAAACAATATAATAGTAAAGCTGGCAAAAGTCAATGACAAAGAAAAAATATTAAGGGCACCAAGGCAGCAGAGAATAATCTACAAAGGAACCCCTATCAGGCTTTCAGCAGATTTCTCAGCAGAAACCTTATAGGCAAGGAAAGATTATAATGATATATTCAAAATACTGAAAGATAAAAACTTTCAGCCAAGAATACTCTATCCAGTGAAACTATCCTTCAGATATGATGGAGAAATAAAAGCTTTCCCAGATAAACAAAAGCTGAGGGAGTTCATTGCCACTAGACCTCCCTTACAAGAAATGATCAAGGATGCCTACATACCTGAAACAAAAAGGCAAAGGTTTACAAAGCCTTGAGCAAGGAGAC